TAGAGCAGCTTTGCACCTCAGCAAAGTATGCCGCGAAGGCCAGGCAACGCTTATGAGAATCCGGACTCACCTCTTAGCATGGTTGTTGGGAAGCATTTGTTTCCCATTTTTGCGCTGATTGTGGTTTAGTGGTTGAAATCCAAATCCACGTTTTGTCTGCTGAATTTTATTCATTTTTGCTCCCCAAACCCAAGGTCAAGCAAGCTAGCGCGTTGCAAACTCTGAGGCGTTGAACTTCGGCGAGCCGTTTTTCTTTTTGGCAAGGCTTGGGGCGGAGCTGCTTCGAAGGTCAAATTATTCTTCCTTTGGCCGGTTGTTTTTCGTGTTCTTGTTCGGCATCCGGCTCAAAGCCTTGCTGCCCCAAAGCTGACATGGGCTTGATTCCGAGGTTGTCCAGTGGCAGCGTTTGGTTGAACGCTTGGACTTTGGTCAGATGGAAGCGAGTTCAGCTTGAAGGGAAGGCCTTGGACAAATCTCTTCAGATCTTTTTTGCTGAATTCGGCTGGACCGGGGCGATCCAAAATCAGTTGAGACACGCGCCCAGAGGCTCGCACTCAAGTGCGTCGGCTGAGTCAACAAGATCCGCGCAGCTTGTAAGTATACCTGGAGCCTCCATGACCCTTTAAAAATGGGTCAATGACCCCATTATTTTGGGTAATGACCAACCATTTTTTGAGGGTCATGGAGACTCCAGGTAGATTCAATTTGAACATCCCTGTTTTTTTTCCGGGCTGCAGAAGAGTCCGCAGTTACTGATTTGCTCTGAGCGGACCTCCCTGTTATGGGCGGCGCCAGATCGAGCGCGAGGCCCTGCACGACTGCACGACCAGTCAGCTTACCAGCCTGCAGCTTGTGGCAACGGCACCTGCAACGGACCAAAAAAGATCGCTGCGACCGAGCGGAGGCTGGCGCAGGCTGGGCGCAGAGAGGAGAGCTGTCCAAGGAAACCAGCTTGGATACAATTTCAAACCGGATCGGACACGGGAAACTCGGGAAGACTAGTTCAAGAGGCGTCAAGAAGTGAGGAAGCATGAAGAAGCTGCCTATGTTTCTCAGATCAAATTTCGGGGACTGGTCGCGCCAGAGCCAGACGTTGGCGAACCGGTCAGCTGTTTGGCACACGCAAAAGGTGCTTCGGAGGCCTTCGAAGGCGGTAGGTGGTGCCGGCGTCAATGCATGCACTTGTGGTGTTTAGTTTCTCAAGCGCATGGGTTGCCCCCCCCCCCCGCAACCCAAGCAAACAACGAATCATGGGTGAGATCAGTAGTTGATGTTTGCCAGCAGATCACGAAGCCCCTCTTGGCCAATTCAGCAATGGCGTTTGCTCTTGCTTTGCTCAGAGCATTGTGTGGGGCCCCTTGTTTGCGCTTAAGCCAGTGGGTTTTGGGCCTGGCTCTCTTGGGCATACTGAGAAACCATCGCGTTCCGTATGAAAGGACCCTTGGTCGCAAGGTTTGGTTCAAAACCGATCCAACTGCCGTTGGCCGTTAGGATTTACCCGAAGGAGAGACCCAGCCACCCCGCTATGTGAGCTGCTTGCTTTTCTTACCCGTTCGCAGCTCGCAGGCTCGGCCCTCCAGGCGGGTTTGGCGGGTTTGGCGGGGGCTTGGTTCAGCTTTTGGATCCGCCCCAGTTTTTTTTGGGGGGGCGTTTTGTCCATAGGTTCCATCCATTCCTTTTTTGCGGATGGCGTCTCTAATGTGGCATTTTAATGGAATCTGCTTTGGGTGAGAGGTCCACATGTTCAGGAATCCGCTTTTGGATGCTTCGGAAACTAGCTGCTTCGATCGGCAAGGCATGAGTTGTATATCATATTATATCATGGCCCCAAGAAAAACCATGCCTTGTGGTGTCCTTTAAGGGAGTCCCCTTTCGGTTCATTCCCATTACCCGGAAGGTCGTGTCTTAAGCAGCGGCAAGGAGTCCGGATCGTTTTCATCCAAAGTGGATATTTCCAAGGAGTGCGTTTGTCAGAGCACAAGGTTTCGACTGCGGGAGAACTCTCCTTCAGGATATTTCAGGGGCCGTCAGACGGTTTGTGGGAAGGCCATCGGCGTCAAGTGCGTGACCTGCTCAGATACGGCGCACGAAAGCCAGGGCTTTGCTGAAGCATCCTTCGGCAGCTGCCAGGAGCTGGAAAGCTTCTTTGGTGACCTGGACAGCCGCTGCCCTGAAAAGGAACTTATTTCAGTGGCAACGGCATGAAGATGGAGGGTGTATACATTCGCATTCCTTCATGTTGCCGTGTTTTCCACTGCGTCAATGACAGTAACATCCTCGAAATGATCCTCGTCTAAGTGGTTCACATAAACGGAAGCCGAAGCACCCCCCAGAGTTTTGGGGATCCACTGTTGCCGATAACTTGGCTGCTTGGATCTCTGAACGTTCATTTGTCGAACATATGTTTCCCCAGCCAGCCAAAAGTCAAATGCTGAGAAACCCCATGAAGCTTTTTGCCTCCTCATTTTCTTTGGTTAGATGCTCGGCCGGAATATCTACCATAGCGACGGAACATCAAACACGTGTCCGTGCGTGTTTTAGGTGGGACCCGTCCAAAATTGTGGTTTGCCTCTTGGTTTCCCTTTACTCCCCCCCAAGAAAGAAGCTCAGGCGACATCCCCAACAGCATGCGGTGCTCTTAGTGCTCGCCCCCCGCACCCCGCTCGAAGAACTTCGTGGAACCCTGGTGGAAGCCTGGTGGAGACCACCCCGGAGCCTATTTGGGCTGAGACCCCAAAGCTTTTAGCTGTGGGGAAAAAACAAAACAAACAAACATAATAATAGACATAATAACAAGCAAAATATATATATATATAAGCACAGGTAAGTTGACCCCAGATTAATCAACCCCAGTTCTTAAACAGGAGGTGTCCCTCATCCTCTGTCAATAGGACGGTTTATTCAACATTACGGTACAAATGACAAACTCTGCTGTTTGGGCAGGGGGGGAATGAGGGCATCACCCCTATAAACCATGCAACTGGTGGTTTCCTGTAAGGGAGCCAAGCCTGGGTTCATTCCACTCATAAACCGGGGTTGTCAAAAAATGGGATGGGTCAAGATTAAAGCATCAGGGGCCCGCAGGTTTTAAACCTTGGTTCCATTTACTAGGGTTCCAACACGGATACCCATTTTTGACCCTCAGCCATATGGGTGTGGCTCAAGATTAATCAGGAGGGGCAAACCGCAGGTTTTGGGTTCCCAGGTTTCCACTTACCGATCGGGCAACCCATTTCGGATCCGGTTTTTTGAGCCACATATGAATCCCAACAAGCCGTTGCAGCATCCATCACTCTAACTTCGAGCCAGCGTGGAGGTTCTCAGCGCGGGCCAGCGGAGCCTGGCGCGGCTCGTGGCGCGGAGGGCAGAGAGTGCACGAGGCAGGCTCAGGGCGCCTAGATGCGCCTAGTCTCGCTGCTGGGGGGATTTTTCGCACACCTCCAAGACTTGTTGCTGCTCAGAATGAGGGCATGTTCCCTATAAACCATCCAACTGGTGGTTTCCTTTTAGGGCCGCTAGGTCCCCCAGTAGTGCCCTTTGACCAACCTTTTGGGTTGAGGGTTCCCCGACTAAAATAGACTACCGTAGAAAGTTGGTACCCTTCTTCAAACCTCTCCACTGGAGGACCTAGTTTGGGTATGTAGCTTTGGCCCCGAAATGGCGGTTCCCTTTTAGCGCTTCAAACGTACCCCAACAAGAGGTATCCAAAAAAAGACACCCGTGTCGAAATAAGAGACCCCTTCAATGGGTGGTTTCCTTTTGGCGTCCCTTTCGACCAGCCGTGTGTCAAATCTTATGGTAGGCTCCACTCGGTTTCAACTGTCAACCCCAAAGCTTCGGTAAGATTGACTGGCTTGAGCGACTTCGCAGCACAACATCAAATACAAGCCAGGATCCTTGGTTCAAGTCCCAGTTTGGTCCCTCCTAGTTGCGAGATCCTTGGTTCTTGGGCCTTGGCCACTGAAATGTTGGAAATTATTAGTGCAACTATAGGGGAAATGCTACTTGAATTTCACCTATAATAAGAACTAGAGTTAAATCGTCTAGTCCCAGTTTGGTCCTAGTCCGAGTTTAGAGATCCCTGGTTCCAGTCTTAGATGGGCAAACCATGAACTGGAGAGGAAAAAAGGTTGGTCCCGCATCTATGGCATCCCCCCAAAAAAATAAATACAACCAGGCTTGTTTCGGAAGAGTGCCTATAGGGTTGTAGCAGATGGGGTTGCAGTTGCATCGGTTTTTCTCCACACAAGGGCTTCCAATCAGGCCCCCCCCAGCTCACAGACTCAAGCAAGAGTGCGCGAAGCAAGAGCCACATTATACATTTGGCCATGATTTCTTTAAATGTGGTAACAACCCAGCAGGGGCTTGCGCATATCAGCCCCCTTAGCCCCCTTGTGAATGATGTCCAGCAAGGGCTTCTCACCAAAGCCCACACCCATCAATGCGACTGGCTCAAACGCTCAGTTGTGCTTACCGGCGGCGTGGGTAAGCGCAACCACAGAATAGACAGCGCGCCCAGGGGCTGAGTATGTGCTCCCGACGGCTTGGCTGTGCTTACGGACGCCGTCGGTAAGCGCAACTGCCTGCTCTTACATGAAACCCGTCATCCATGCTCCGGCCTCTTCGACAAATGGGCCCACGGTGTGTGCGGCAAAATGCCTGCGCTGTTGAAGCTCTGGTGTTAGCGCAGCCCAGGGGCACACACACACACACACTGAAGTGGGCAGGGCTGATTGGAGGGCAGGGCTTTGTGTTTTTGCAACTCGCCTACAACCCCATCCACTACAACCCTATAGGACCTTTTCCAATTGTTCCTTTGCCACACTGCAAACAGTCACAGACTTATATATATATATATATATACACATCTCTGCCTGTAGATGGCGTGTTTTTTGTTTTTTCGCTTCAGCTTCAGCTCGAAGGCGGGGCAAACCCCCGCAGCCCCCAGCCCGCGGCGCGCGCCTCGCCTCGCCCGTTGGGGCGTCCGGGCGTCGCATGCCATGGACCGCAAGCGCTCGGCGCTGAGCTCGGCGGGGGCCAAGCTGCTGGAGCCCAAGTCCGCACCTCGGCGCCCGAGCCGGGCGAAGGCGGCGAAGGCGGTTTTTATTTTTTTTTGGGGGGGAGGCGGGGTGCTACTCGTCCTGGTTGTGGTTGAACGAAACATTTTTTCAGATGTTTGCTTATTGTGGTTTAGTGGTTGAAATCCAAATCCACTTAACTGCTAGGAATTGTAGTTGTTGCTCTCTTTTTTTGAGGAGGCGGGGTGCTACTCGTGGCCGTGGGAGGTCAAAGGGGGGTACTCCAGAACCACCATGGGTGTTTTTTCTTGTTCCCAAAAAACCCTCTGGGGTTGGGTTCTCGTTTACTTGTCTAACCGCGAGGGAGCGAGGATCGGCAGGGGTTCGGCCTGAAGTGTACCATGTTTGCAGCATGCCGTGTAAACGCCACTGGCCGGGAAATGGCCGAACAGGCGGCCTGCCGGCTGAATTGCCGGCAAGAACGGGACCGAAGTGTGCCGAGTTCACCGCACACTGCAGGTCCGAGTTTGCAGCATACCGCGCAAGCGCCGCCAAGAACGTGACCGGTCTCAAGCGTGCCGAGCTTTGCCGAGTTTACCGCACACCGCAGGTGGTTGGGCTTCAAGTGTACCGAGTTTGCAGCATACCGCGCAAGCGCCGCTGGCGGGGAAATGGCCGAACGAGCGGCTTGCCGGCTGAATTGCCGGGACGACCTTGACTGTCGGTGAGTGTGCCGGCTGACTTGCAACCAGCGCCGAGGAACGGGAGGTGCTGGAGGCCGCGTGCGGCTTGCCGGCTGAATTGCCGGGACGACCTTGACTGTCGTGACTCTGCTGGCTGAATTGCAACCAGCGCCGAGGTGACGGGAGCTGTGTGCCGTTGGGATTTGGCTCCAGGAAAGCAGCGAGAACGAGATGGGGTCAACCGTATGCCGGTGGGATTTGGTCCGTGTGCCGGTGGGATTGGAGGCGGCAAGGATGGAGGTGACGGCGGCGTGTGCCGGTGGGGTTTGCTTCTGCGGATGCAACCAGCGCCGAGGTGACGGGGAAGATCGGGCAAGCCTGTTCGCGGCAAGATCGGGCAAGCCTGTGCGCGCCGCGCGCGCCGAGTGCGCGCCTTTCGATGTGCTCAGCATCACATGGAAAGGCGCGCGCGCGGCGCGCAAGCAGGCCGCCGTCCCCTCTGAATCACCTTATAGCCCAAAAACATTGCAAAAAAAGGCTGCTGCTTCCCTGATAGTCCAAAAGACAAAGTGAACGTGCATGTTCGCACGAAGTGATGCCCTTCGGACAAGTGCTTGGGAGACGCCCCTTTGCCGAACACAACCCGCAAGAAGCTCCGAGAAAACGTGACAAACCATGGCTTGTTGCAACGATGTATTTTCGACTGCCGTCCTGGATTCGCATTTCTCTTGCTCTAGTCCGATGCTCGCAGCTCAGTGCAAGGCTGCCACCTAAGAGCTTTTGCTAATTGTCCGTGGAGCCCTGAAGGGGCCATAGCAAAAAGGCATAATCCACGCAGCAGCAATAGCAGCAGTGTCGGTCCGCCCACGAGCTCCTGCCTGCAAACTGCTTGGGCAAGCAGTTCGCTGACAGTCATTCACAAATATTTGTTCGCATCTTGGTTTTTGGGTTCCCCGGCTCAAACTCCTTGTTGTTTTTTGTTTGTTTGTTGTTGTTATCTATTTTTTGCCCGCGGTTTTTGGTAGGGGTTGGTGGATAGAAGCACCATGGGTTTTACCCTTATGGAGTTTCAGTCTTCAATTTTTGCTTTGTAGGGGTTGGAGGTCAAAGGGGGTGCTCTAGAACCACCCATGGCTTGAGGAGTTTCAGTCTTCCGTTTTTCCTGAGATGGAAGTGGTTTTTGTTGATGTTCCCTGGTTAGTGTTAAAGGGAATCGATCGCTACGGGACATAGTTCTCCTTTCCGAAAGCGGCGAAACGCAACTCCACTGCGCCAGGTGTTAGGTGCCGTTCTAGATGCTACCTGGTCCTTGGGCCAGTGAGGGGTGTGGCAGAAATGCAAATTGGAAGCCAAAAGGAAGGAGCCCATTTCTTGTCCATGTCATGCCACAATGTAGGTCGTATCACAAGAAAACCAGAATGATTCAGATGTTTGGATGTCAAGTTCCAAAAGGACCCTGTTCATCCCTTGCCCCCGTTGGGCGACGGACCGCTCGCTGGGCGGTGTTCTTTTTGAAAACAGCGTCAGCATCCCAGCCAGTTTCCTGAAAAAGTATGTTCCGGCTCAAAAGGTGCTTTACGTAATCCTTCTGACAGATGGCAATTGGTGGTTCCCTTGCCGTGCTCACTACGCCTTGCGGATTCGGAAAATCGGGATGTCAAGATGGAACTCGCCAACTGTGGAACCCGAACACCTGAAAATAGTGGGTTGTTTCTTGAATTTGTCCAGCCCCCCCAAAAAAAACGCAAAGAAAAGAAAGAAGAAACGGTGTACCCGTCCAGCCCCTTCAGCCGAACAAAAAAAAGAGAATGAACAAATTCTGAGGCAGTGCCACTGCGGGGAAGGGAGCGCAGCGAACGCAGCGCTGATGTGGAGGTTGTGGAGAGCGGAAGGCGCGAGTGGCACGTGTTTGTTGAACTCGCTGGCTTTTGTCATGCCCTTAGTTGGTGGTTTGGATTGGTGGCTTGGATTGGTGGCTTGGATTGGTGGTTCGGATTGGTGGTGTGCATTGGTGGTTTGCATTTGTGGTTTTCGATTGGTGGTGTGAATTGGTGGTTTGCATTGGTGGCTTGGATTGGTGGCTTGGATTGGTGGTTCGGATTGGTGGTGTGGATTGGTGGTTGCATTTGTGGATATCGATTGGTGGTGTGGATTGGTGGTTTGGATTGGTGGCTTGGATTGGTTCGGATTGGTGGTGTGGATTGGTGGTGTGCATTTGTGGTTATCGATTGGTGGTGTGGATTGGTGGTTTGGATTGGTGGCTTGGATTGGTGGCTTGGATTGGTGGTTCGGATTGGTGGTGTGGATTGGTGGTTTTCATTTGTTGTTATCGATTGGTGGTGTGGATTGGTGGTTTGGATTGGTGGCTTGGATTGGCGGCTTGGATTGGTGGTTCGGATTGGTGGTGTGGATTGGTGGTGTGGATTGGTGGTTTGCATTTGTGGTTATCGATTGGTGGTTTGGATTGGTGGCTTGGATTGGTGGTTCGGATTGGTGGTGTGGATTGGTGGGTATCGATTGGTGGTGTGGATTGGTGGTTTGGATTGGTGGTTTGGATTGGTGGCTTGGATTGGTGGCTTGGATTGGTGGTTCGGATTGGTGGTGTGGATTGGTGGTTTGCATTTGTGGTTATCGATTGGTGGTGTGGATTGGTGGTTTGGATTGGTGGTTTGGATTGGTGGCTTGGATTGGTGGTTCGGATTGGTGGTGTAGTTTGGTGGTTTGCATTTGTGGATATCGATTGGTGGTGTGGATTGGTGGTTTGGATTGGTGGTGTGGATTGGTGGCTTCGATTGGTGGTTCGGATTGGTGGTGTGGATTGGTGGTTTGCATTTGTGGTTCTCGATTGGTGGTGTGGATTGGTGGTTTGGCTTGGATTGGTGGTTCGGATTGGTGGTGTGGGTTGGTGGTGTGGATTGGTGGTTTGGATTGGTGGTGTGGGTTGATGGTTTGCATTTGTGGTTCGGATGGGTGGTGTGGATTGATGGTTTGCATTTGTGGTTTGGAGTGGTGGTGTGGATTGGTGGTTTGCCTTCGTGGTGTGGGTTGGCGGTGTGGGTTGGTGGTTTGCATTTGTGGTTTGGATTGGTGGTGTGGGCTGGTGGTTTGCATTTGTGGTTTGGATTGGTGGTTTGCATTTGTGGTTTGGATTGGTGGTGTGAATTGGTGGTTTGGATTGGTGGTTTGGATTGGTGGTGTGGGTTGGTGGTGTGGATTGGTGGTTTGGATTGGTGGTGTGGGTTGATGGTTTGCATTTGTGGTTCGGATGGGTGGTGTGGATTGATGGTTTGCATTTGTGGTTTGGAGTGGTGGTGTGGATTGGTGGTTTGCCTTTGTGGTGTGGGTTGGCGGTGTGGGTTGGTGGTTTGCATTTGTGTTTTGGATTGGTGGTGTGGATTGGTAGTGTGGATTGATGGTTTGGATTGGTGGTTTGGATTGGTGGTGTGGGTTGGTGGTTTGCACTTGTGGTTTGGATTGGTGGTGTGGATTGGTGGCTTGAATTTCTGGTTTGGATTGGTGGTTTGCATTTGTGGTTTGGATTGGTGGTGTGGATTGATGGTTTGCATTTGTGGTTTGGGTTGGTGGTGTGGATTGGTGGTTTGCATTGGTGGTGTGGATTGGTGGTGTCATTTAAAATTTTGGATTGGTGGTGTGGATTGATGGTTTGCATTTGTGGTTTGGATTGGTGGTGTGGGTTGGTGGTTTGCATTTGTGGTTTGGATTGGTGGTGTGGATTGGTGGTTTGAATTTGTGGTTTGGATGGGTGGTGTGGATTGGTGGTTTGCATTTGTGGTTTGGATTGGTGGTGTGGGTTGATGGTTTGCATTTGTGGTTTGGATTGGTGGTGTGGATTGGTGGTGTGGATTGGTGGTTTGCATTTGTGGTTTGGATTGGTGGTGTGGATTGGTGGTTTGCATTTGTGGTTTGGATTGGTGGTGTGGATTGGTGGTGTGGATTGATGGTTTTGGATTGGTGGTGTGGATTGGTGGTTTGCATTTGTGGTTTGGATTGGTGGTGTGGATTGGTGGTTTGCATTTGTGGTTTGGATTGGTGGTGTGGATTGGTGGTGTGGATTGATGGTTTGGATTGGTGGTGTGGATTGGTGGTTTGCATTTGTGGTTTGGATTGGTGGTGTGGATTGGTGGTTTGCATTTGTGGTTTGGATTGGTGGTGTGGATTGGTGGTGTGGATTGATGGTTGGGATTGCTAGTGTGGATTGGTGGTGTGGATTGGTGGTTTGGATTGGTGGTGTGGATTGGTGGTGTGGATTGGTGGTTTGCATTTGTGGTTTGGATTGGTGGTGTGGATTGGTGGTGTGCATTTGTGGTTTGGATTGGTGGTGTGGATTGGTGGTGTGGATTGATGGTTTGGATTGGTGGTGTGGATTGGTGGTTTGCATTTATGGTTTGGATTGGTGGTGTGGATTGGTAGTTTGCATTTGTGGTTTGGATTGGTGGTGTGGATTGGTGGTGTGGATTGATGGTTTGGATTGGTGGTGTGGATTGGTGGTTTGCATTTGTGGTTTGGATTGGTGGTGTGGATGGTTTGCATTTGTGGTTTGGATTGGTGGTGTGGATTGGTGCATTTGTGGTTTGGATTGGTGGTGTGGATTGGTGGTGTGGATTGATGGTTTGGATTGGTGGTGTGGATTGGTGGTGTGGATTGGTGGTTTGCATTGTGGTTTGGATTGGTGGTGTGGATTGGTGGTTTGCATTTGTGGTTTGGATTGGTGGTGTGGATTGCATGTGATTGCATCCATGGATTTGGATTGGTGGTGTGGATTCATTTGTGGTTTGGATTGGTGGTGTGGATTGGTGGTGTGGATTGATGGTTTGGATTGGTGGTGTGGATTGGTGGTTTGCATTTGTGGTTTGGATTGGTGGTGTGGATTGGTGGTGTGGATTGATGGTTTGGATTGGTGGTGTGGATTGGTGGTTTGCATTGGTGGTGTGGATTGGTGGTGTGGATTGATGGTTTGGATTGGTGGTTTGCATTTGTGGTTTGGATTGGTGGTGTGGATTGGTGGTGTGGATTTGTGGTTTGGAGATTTGAACTTCCTTAATGCAAGCGGCCGCTCCCGCCACCGGATTTTTCAAGTGTGAAGCACCCAGGCCTTGGCTTCAAACCGGGGAAGCCACCAGGCCTGGGTTTCTGTTTAAAGGGAAACAAGTTGAGGGTGGTTCAAACAGTTGCGTTGGTTCAAAGCTGCCCTCAAGGCACATGTTACCCAAAGAGTTCTCCAAAGGGTTCACCCCAATCCCGACCTTTTGACCTTTGTTTTCCTATGTTGGTTCATTAGTCATGGTCCCGGAAGGCGGTTATCTTACCTTCACGGTTCTTGGATCAGGTGTGTTTTGTTCTTTTTGTTTTGTTTTTTGGTTCTGTTCATTTTTACAGGGGGTCTGCAAAAAACAGTCAGTTTCTCGCTACCATACCAAGAGTAGAGATGTTACAGTTCAAACACTTTGATTCAAACATCTTGCCTAGCAGGTGGTCCAGGGTTTGGGAGTGAACCCGGGAATGAACCGGACGGGGATTCCCTTAAGGAAAACCACAAAGGGATGGTTTCATGGGGTTCATTCCCGAACCAGCGAGTTGTTTCAAGTGCACTCGCCTAGGCAAAGGTCCAACTCCCACACGGAGCGGCCGGAGAGGCGGCTTCGTTTCGGATCGATTCGATTCCGGGCCGCGGGTTTTAAGCAGATCGAATATTTGGTTTCAGCATACCACCAAAGGAGTGGTTTCATTGACATTCAGTGACTTGGACTTCAACTTGCTGCCTTTGTTGCGCAAAAGACGGAGTGCGGCTTTTAAGCATCAAAAGAAGGGGCTTGCAGCCTGATATTTGCGGTGAGTTGCAATGCTTGAGCAAGGAATTATTGTTGACCTGGCCTGCCCACCATGAAACAATGCAGAGGGGGTATTTGGCTTCAGCATGTTGACCACGAAAGGAGTGCACCAGAAAGCTGATGGTACCAGGGGAACCATCGATGTATCTCAGCTCATTTGAGGGCCACAATCAAAACACGGGTCAGTTGATAGCAACGGATAGCTCCAGCCAGAAATCCGCCCGATCTTGATTATTGTAATTTGGTTTTGCAAGCAGGCCACCTTAGAACCAGGTCTAAATTGTAAAGCTGGTGATTCCTCCAACACTTCGAGGTTCTTGAGTCCCATGCCCCTTGACATGTTCCCTGTTACTCATGTGGAGTTTCTCTCAAAATTGTTCCCTGTTCGGCTTTGAAACACGAAAAGGACGACAGCGTCGTAAAGTATTAAGTCCCTTTGATCGATTCCTCTGGGATTTGCCAGGCTCGAGAAGCTGGACAAGTGGGAGAAGCCCAGCGACGTCTCAGCCGCCAAGCCTTTTTCAGCTTCGCCTTCGCCCGAACCTCCGGAGCCCAGTGAGAAGCAGGAGAGTCAGCGAGAAGCAGCAGGGTTTCGGGGGGGGGGTTCGGGGTTCGGGGTTCGGGGCCTTGCCCAGTGGCTTGGTTCCTGTCCGGTTCCGGTTCTTCGATCTTTTTTGGTTGGTCTAGTGGTGGTTTCTAACAGTTTTAGACTTTTAGCAGGGACTCTGAAAACGATGTGCTTCAGAATATGTTTTACTTCCCCTGTTGGTTGCGGAGGGGCTTTATGGAGGGATCTCCTCCAAACATGTGCTTGAGCTAGGCCATGGGCAAGAATCTGAGCATTTTGCTTGTGTCACCCGATGTGTGGCCATCGTTTCCTCTCCGTTTTCCGATTTTTTTGGGTGGGTTCCCATTGTGTGCAGGGCTTGGGTTACACCCTCTAAATCCCTTTCTGCTTTGCCCCAAAGATCGGCCAACTGGTTCTCATCCAAACCTGCAAAGGGGCACCGATCGCTTTGAGAAGTTCCGGGGCTTGACACGTCGTCTTTTGAGGCGTGCTCTTGTTATTTTTTGTCTTTTCGGGAAACCGAAGGGAAGTCACTTGTTGCACTGGGATAACACAACCTACAAACGTTGTCCATCAGTAGGCAAGCTATGCGGAAGCCGCATGAAAAAAACAGCGAGTCACGAGTGATTTTGGGGGGGTCCCTCAAATGATGAGATGTATAGGTATAAAGACCCAATACGCTACTTGTATTTTGGCTCAAGGAAAAGGTGCGCTCCGCAGTGCACCCGAGCCTAAGTAATCGAATTTTCATGGTAGCGAGTGAGCCTGATCTACCTGCGCGAGCAGGTCGGCGGTCCATCTGGACCGGAAAGATCGGGGACAAGGGCACGGGCAAGAACAAGGGCAAGGACAAGGGCAAGCAGGGCAAGAAGGGCAGGAAAGGCCCATCGGAGCCTCCGTGGAGGAGGTCCAGGAGCGGCAAAGGAAAAGCCGCTAGAGCGGGCGCTGAGCCCGCGGCCCCTGAGCCCCTGCCGGAAGAGGAGCCCGAGATCCGGGCCCCATCGCCTTCGCCAGCCGCTGCGGTCTCGGAGGCCGATTGGAGCCCAGAAGAGGAGGCTCAACCGGCGAGTAGCTAGTCCGGAAAGGGAGGTCGTATATACTGCTGAGGACAAGAAGCAGGACCTCCGGGCTGAGTCGGCTGAGGAGAGCGACTGGGGGCCCTGGCAGTCGGCGCGCAGGGTCGTGCCTCGGGAGCCGAGCTACCCGCCGCCGCAAAGGCCCCAGCGCAAGCAGCTTTTCACCAGGACCCAGAAAGGGTGGAAAGACAATCGGCGGTCGCAGGAGGCCCGCCATTATAGGATCCTCAAAGGCCTCATCAAGCTTGCGAACAAGAAGGGGGAAAAGGTGCCCGGAGAGGTTGAGATTGAGGTTCAGCAGCTCAACAAGAGGAGGGGCACATCCGCAGGAGAGAGGCCCTGGAAGAGGCAGCGCCAGGCTGAGGCAAGCTCAGCTGCGCCGAAGACCCCACCGAAAGCCCCTGTTACGCCACCCAAGGCTGCGGCGCCGAGTTCACCTAAGGATCTTGGAGTCGGACGAAAGTCTGCACCGGCTGGTCCAGCCGCAGCAAAGGCCCTTGGACGAAAGATCACGGTCCATCGGCGGGTCCAAGAATTGGCTGTGGCCCGAGTGAAGCGTGGTGCGGCGACACCTGAGACTGCCTTCGCGAGCAATTATCGACTGCGGAGGGCGGCCGTCTCGGAGACCCTTTTCTTGACAAAGGCGAAGGGGTCGGTTGAAGTACCGATCGCCAAAGCGGTGCTGGGTCTCGACGGCTTGAGTGTGCCGTGCAGCTCGTGCGACGAGCGGAACACCTCGGCGAGGCCAGCTATCTTGGCCCGGGCGGCTGCTCATGTTTGCGGGAGTAGGGGGCTCGGTATTGGGACCCTCGCCAAAGCTCCCGGCGATTTGGAAGAGCCCGCCGAAGGCCAAAGCACCGGCGGTACAGCCGGAGGAGCCCTCCAAGCCAAAGGCAAGCAAGCCTAAAGAGGAGCTGCCAAAGAAAGAGAAGGAGGAGCCGCAGAAGAAAGAGAAGGAGGAGCCGCCAAAGAAAGAGAAGGAGGAGCCGCAGAAGAAGAAGGTGAAGAACGAGCCCAAGGAGGAGACCCGAGTGATCTTGAAGGAGGCCCCGGCGGTGCCGAAGGTGGTGTTGGTCCCGAAGCCGAAGTATCCACCGAAGAAGCCACCACCACCGCCGCCATCTCCATCTCTCTGAGTGAGGCCAGCGTGCATTTTCACGACCGGGCTGAGCCTGACTCGGGATCTTATACGTACTATACAGAGGAAGAGGAGTCCAAATCGGACTGACCTCCCGGTGCGTGGCACTGGACTGTGGGAATGGAGGAACAAATCAGAGAGTTGCAGGCAGCAGTAGAGAAGTTGGCACAAGAGAACCAGGTTCTTAGACAGGGCCAGGCTAGTATGGTTACACTGGCCGAGAATGTAGGAAGGCTGGCAAACAGCATGCAGAGGGGAGACCGGAAACTCTTGATAGATACCAAAGGCATTGGTAGACCTGAGGTTTTCCCAAACGAAGATGGCAGTTTCCGGAGATGGGCACGGTCGGTGGTCAATTTAACAACCGCAATCTTCGGGTCGAGTTTCCAACAGATCCTTGAATGGGTTGTTGATCAGGATGAGGAAGTGACCGTAGAAAAGGTAGAGGCAGAGCATGGAGGCGAGCTTGGCATGGGGGGACTAGACGACAAGGGAGATCAGTTGTTCCGCTTGCTGTCGTCCCTCACTACTCACGAATCCGAGGACTTGGTCATCAACACTAAGAAGCCGGGTTTGAGGACGCCATCCACGAAGCCGATGAAGACCAAGAAGATCAGCCGGAGGCCGAAATGGGCATGTTCGAGCTGGGTGCTTTCAGCCAGGAAGAACCCCCAAAGGAAAGCCCAGACAGCAATTCCAGTAGAATGGAAGGGACACATCCCCACCAAAGAGGGAACCCAAATGATGTTCAAAACAGCGTCAGGGGAACTGGTCCCTGGGACCGGAACTGGGACCTTTGCAGGTCGCAGTGAAGCAGGTTCCAAATGCACAGTGACAGGCCCGTTGGCACCGGTTCACAAACCGTTGGTTTCGGCATACAAGTGCCTTAAGCATCCAACATGGCGGGAAGTTGATTCCAGCAGACTCAGCGGTAGGCAAGAAGGTTCAAAATTTGCTCAGTAAGCCCAGTAAAGCCCAGGAGAGGACGTGGTTGCCCGTGTATCAAGAGAAAGGAGTTTACAACTTCTATTTGGAGTCGAATTCGGGTTTTGGACGGCAGTCCAAGGAGACGTAAGTCCGGCCAAGACACTTGCAGCAGCAGATGATGCGGCAGGTGCCGGACAAGGAGAAAACCCGGAGGCACCAGCGGGCCGACCCGCAGATGTGCCCGAGGGAGGTGAGTTGGATGAGAGCGGTGAGATTGCGCCGCCGGCGCTTGTGAAGGCGCCAGAGGGCCCTTCGAGGGCCGAGGTTGCGGAGCATGAGGCAACAGGTCACGTGCAGTATCGCAGCTGGTGTCGGCATTGTCTTGCCGGCAGAGGATTGGGTCAGCAGCACCGCTCACGACCCGAAGAGGACAAGGCGAGCGATGAGCTCGCGACAATCTCGTGCGACTATACATGGATGACGCGAGATGGAAAGGAGGATGGGAAGACTAAGCCTATCCTGGTGATCCGAGACAGTCGGACACTGGCCGTTGCGGCCACCTTCGTGGACGCAAAAGAACCGACGCCATACGCGGTCAAATTCATGGCGAACTTTATAAAACATCTTGGTTATCGTCGTGCAGTCTTCAAGAGTGGTGAGCATTCGATCGTTGCCCTGAAGGAGCAGGCGGCCAAGGAAGCAGGTGTGGAGAATGTTCCACAGGAGTCGCCGGTGGCTGACCACCGGGCGAATGGCGCAATCGAGAATTTGTGCCGAGAAATCAAGAGGCAGGTACGAGTCCTGCGATCCTCACTTGAGGAGAAGTTGGGTCGGATTCTCAAGGAAGATGACCCGGTGCTGTCTTGGTTTCCAAGACACTCAGCAGACCTGATTTGCAGGTACAAGAGGGGTGTCGATGGGAAGACACCAGAGCAGAGGCGTAGCGGCAAACAATGCAAAAACGCCCGCTATTGCTATTGGAGAGCGCCTCTACTATTGTGAGGTAGGAGAAGGCGCTAGGCCGTTGAAGGAAGGCCGGTATATAGGTCACCACGGAAGGACCGGCACTTTGCTGGTTGTGACACCAGAAGGAGTGAAACGAGGGACAGGAGTTCGTCGCCTTCCGGAGGATGAGCAGTGGAATGCTCAGGGATGGGAGAGCCTGAAGGGCTACCCCTGGGAGGTTTCGGTGAGAGCCCCAGGAACACCAAGCCGGAGGGCGCCTGGGACTCCAGCCCAAGGAGTAGAGGATCTGCTGGTCAGTGAGGACCGGGTTGAGGTACCACCTCAGATCGTGCCAGTCATGGCACCACCGCAGCAGCGACGGATCTACATCCGGAAGGTCGACGTGGACAAGTAATAACCTACAGATGGATGCCCAGGATGCACATGTGTGCTGCTGCGAGAATCCACGCAGCTTCCGCACACGGAGGCGTGCAGAGCCCGAATCGTTGGGCTCATGATGGACGACGAGCAAGGACGACGTCGAGTCGAAGAACACAAGAGGAAACGTGAAGAATCCACAAAGGAGACAGAAGTGGAAAAAGATCTCCCAGCCCAGGAGGCTATGGGAGAGCCGGCCGTTGGGGCCGGGGCAGGAGCAGGTCATGTTCCTGGACAGGTGATGGAGTATGAAGAGGACCCAGTGAAAAGAGCAGAGCTAAAGAGAGCTGCAGCAGAGCCTTCAGCATCCAGCAGCCCGAAGAGCAAGGCTAAGCCGACCACACAGGTCAAGAGGCCAGGCGCGCTCCACATCGCGCCGGGACCCAAGCTGAAGATGCAGCCGAAGCAGGGCGAGAAGCGGGAGCCGGAAGTACAGTTGGAAGAACTTAGGACCGAGACCGAAGCGGCAGTTGCTGCCGATGTTTCAAACGCTCCGGACAAGCCCCCAGACGTGGGAGGACTTGAGCTGAGTCGATTGAAAGGCATGTTGCGGTCAATGGTTGGAAGAAAGATTGAGAGAGCTTTCGCAGCCCAGGAGGTGGAGATCAATGCAGTGGACTTGGAGCAGATCACCAAGCTTTGCGTAGAGATGGGAGCAGTAGACATCATGGAGATCTACAGCCCGAAGAGGTTCACAGCCCAAGCCGAGCACTATGGCTTGAGGCCAGGTCTTGCAGTGGACCTGGAGGAACCTACTGGGATCTCAGTAGGGAAGAAGACGTCCGAGAGCTCGACAAATACGGGTCGAGCCAACATTGCTCACAGGGAGTCCGCCCTGTGATCAGTTTTCTCAACTACAGAACATCAACAAATATAAAGTAAGTGCGGGTAAGAGAGGAGAGAAAATGGACAAAGCTGTAGCACACTTGCATACCGCCTGTAGCTTCTACAGGAAGCAAGTTGAGGCTGGCAGATTCTTTCTGCATGAGGCACCGTGGAGTGCCACATCGTGGAAGGACCCGGAGGTCCGAGATCTTTCTGAACGACCGGACGTGTATACAGTCCGAGGCCCAATGTGTAGGTGGGCTATGGTCGCTACGGACCGACGGGGTTTGCAAGGCACAGGATATGTGCGCAAGGAAACAGGCTGGATGACCAATCATCCAGGACTGGCGCAACTGTTGCAAGGAGAATGCAGTAACAAGACAGAAGGGAAGCCTTGGCATAGGCATGTCCACCTAATCGGAGGACTCGCGAGGCCAGCAGTGAGATATCCACCGGCACTGGTGCGGGCGGTGCTGAGAGCCTTGAGGGACTACCTGGTGGAGAACGGACAATTGAGTGCACTGGACGCAGCTGTTGCAGGTCCAGTTCCTGAGGAATGCTTCGTGACGCCGGAGGACGTGGAGCAGTACTGGGACGATGTGAATGGTGGATTTCTGCCCCAGATCGTGTCAGAGAAGCACGCCAACTAGCTGGCATATCTTCGGAAGCAAGAGGTTTATGAGAAGGTGCCACTCGAGGAGTGTCTTAGAGATACCAACGGGAGAGGCCCAAGAACCACCCGTTGGATAGACACGAACAAGGGAGATCCCACCAACCCGAACTTTCGATCGAGATTGGTGGTCCGGGAAATTAAGGCCCGGAAGAGACCGGAGGAGAGAATCCCTCAGAACATGCTGTTCTCGTCAACGCCACCCTTGGAGGCGATGAGGCTCCTGTGTAGCCTTTGGGCACAGAGCGGGTATCTCGGCGAGGACGATCCCTTAAGATCGGACTATGGGATATCTCAAGAGCCCATTTCTATGGTGTGCCGAAGAGGCGCATATACATAGAGTTGCCGGAGGAGGACTCAACTCCAGGAATGGTAGGTCGACTAACCAAGTCAATGTACGGAACCCAGGATGCCCCGAACATATGGCAGCAGCATTACACGCAGCTGTTGGTCAAGGCGGGATACATCAGGGGAAAGTCGAATGGTTCAGTATTCTACCATCCAACACTGGAAGTGAGAGTGCTTGTGCATGGAGATGATTTCATGGCGTTGGGAGATGCAGACGCGTTGAAGGAGGTAGACGCATTGCTTCGCAGCGCTTATGAGCTGAAATGGCTCGGAACGATTGGAGACGAGGAAGGTGATAACAAGGAGGTTCACTTTCTCAACAGACTCATTCGTTGTGAACAACATCAAGGTGCAAGCGCGATCCTGCTCGAGCCAGATCGACGGCATGTTGATCTACTTGTGCAGCAGCTTGGCATGCAGAATGCCAAGGGAGCAGAGACACCGGACGTGAAGAAGTCCGTAGAGATGCAGGAAGCCAGAAGCCCAGCTCTACCGAAAGACCAGGCCTCGCTGTATCGATCTTGCGTGATGAGGGCCGCATACTTGTCTCAGGACAGGTTGGACATCAGTCATGCGGTGAAGAATCTTGCAAGGAAGATGGTCTCGCCGACGGAGGCATCCTTGCAGGATCTGAAGCGACTGTGTCGCTACCTCATCCGGAAGCCGGACGTGTGTCAGGTGTTTGCCAGGCAGGCAAGGCCGCACAAACTCCGGATTCAAGTGGACTCTGATGATGCAGGAGATGCTATGACGAGGAGATCCACTACGGGGATGGTTGCGCTGTATGGGTTGCATGTGCTGAAGCACAGCAGCAATGTGCAGTCAACTATTGCTCTTTCGACCGGCGAGTCGGAGTACTACGCCTTGGTCAAAGGAGGTTCAGTGGGTCTTGGCCTTCAGTCGCTCTTGGAGGACTTTGCGGTGGAGACCCAGGTGCTTATCCAATCAGATGCAACTGCAGCAAAAGGTACAGTGCATCTAGGAAAGGCCCGCCATATCCAGACCAGATTTTTGTGGTTGCAGGAGCGGGTGAGTATGGACCACCTTAAGGTAGAGCATGTCCCTGGAAAGGCCAACAGAGCCGATGCTCTAACAAAGAGCATACCAGGTGTACAGATGACAGAAGCCATGAAGAGGTGTGGTTATGTTTTCCTGGATCAGCGCAGTAAGGGACAACTCAAGCTCTTGGGGAGCTAAGGTCCCTGGCCAGACTCCGCTACCGGATTGCTGTGCGAGCGTGTACAGAGCCGCACTTCCAACAAGGAGGAGTGATGAGATGTATAGGTATAAAGACCCAATACGCTACTTGTATTTTGGCTCAAGGAAAAGGTGCGCTCCGCAGTGCACCCGAGCCTAAGTAATCGAATTTTCATCAAACGACAAAAATCCACAGGTCGACCATAATTTTCCGTGCGTGGCCCCCCTTGGTGGTCCCCGAGGTTTGTTGCCCAATTTTTCACGCGGTTGGCTGGGAACCAATTTTGTGGCTGATCTGTGTCGTTTTTTCTTTTAAGACAGGGATAAATGGACCCGCTTGAAATAGCTACACCTTAAGTGGAGTCCCCTTGTTTTCACCTAGTACCCCGTCAAACCACACAGACACATTGGTCCACATTGCAAGTATCTTAGGCATGTTCGTTTCTTGCCATAGTCCCAGAGGCCCCTTCCGATTAAGGTCTGGGGGGCTTCCTGCGGCATTCCCAAAATGGGATGAGGTGAGGGCAGCATTCATTGGCGGATATTTGTGGGGACTACATAACTCGGGAGCCGCATGCCGAAGCTTTCCCCTAGCCCTCTCCAAGTAACGCCTTAGACAACCTTACTAGGGCCTTACATTGGGGAAACAGGAGTAGTTGGCGCCACTGTTTGACTCATGTCTCTTGTAAAGGCTGACAGCCAATTGTCCATCAAGCTACACTCCAGTTGGAATCTCCGAAGCAAGTGCAGAGTCATCCCGTCCATTTGCTTAAGAAGATGTTTTTTTCCCCTGTGGATTTTGCAGGGAATCATAGGGAATCTATCACTACCGGAAATATGTTGAGTCTTTTCCAGGGGACTTGAGCAAATGCATGATCCCATTGACTCACCCACATGAACCTCTGGCAAATTCAGTCTGAGTTCATGGAGAAGCGCTTGGTTTGTCTGCGCGGTGTTTGACTCCCAAAAATCGCAACCTCTAGGAGGGAAGTCGCCTTGGCTTGCTCAAAACGTGAGGCCCTTGAAGGCTTTCTTGTCCAACTCTGCGAGCAAGTTGTTCGAGTCGGCATCAACCCCTCACTCAAAAGCTGGCGCCAAACCCTAAGCTCCCCTCGACCCCTCGACACTCAAAAGCTGGCGCCAAACCGGGAGTTGTTTGCCATTTGCCTGGAGTCTCCTTCTGACCCTTAAAACATGGTTGGTCATAACCCAAATTAATGTGTTTTAAAGGGTCAGAAGGAGACTCCAGGTAGGAATCGGTTTTTTTGGGGACCTCCCCGGAAACACGCAATTCTCAACACCTGGTTGACCTCCCACTCCAACAAGCCAGGAACCCAGAGGGCGGGGGAAAAAACCGCCAGACCGCCAGGAGCGGGCAGGAAGATCGTCTTCCAGAAGACCCAGGGAGAAGGAGCAAAAGGAGGAGGGATCGCGCGGCCCGCCTCGGCCTCTCTTGCGCTCTTGGGCTGGTCGATGCCCAGTCCAGCGGCGCCCTTCTGCTTCTCCATGGGTTTTTTGGGGGGAAAGGGTTCCCTTTAAAGTCGCCCGACCAAAAAGCAGATGCCCTTTTGCCCCCCTGGCCACGAAGCATCTGAGTATTTAACCCTAAGCTGCTTGGGAAACGCCTAGTTTTCCACCAGCCGGCAGCAAGTGTTCCACTTCTTGGGCAGAAAATGAACAGTTTTACAGTTCTTCGTTCTGTTGTTGTGTTCTTGCCAAGTGTTTTGTTTTCGGCATGTGAGCCACCATCAAGGGTAGCAAGGCACACACCCAACCATGAGTAAGGTGCGGCCGCCCTTTTGGATTCTTCGCACGGTTTGGGGTAGACTGCTTCATGATTGTGACTCACCAGGGCTGAACATCTGCTCGAAGCACCTGTTTGCCTGCGAGGGTTTTGGTCTCCATGCGGTGGCTTCACGGACCGTGGGCCCTTGGCTCGAATCTGGTTAGGTCAAAGGCACCAGCACTGTTTGCGGGGCCCCACTGAAGCACTTCCAGGAAGCCGCCTTGAAACCAGACCAGAGTTAAGTGTCCTTTTTGGTCGGTGTTTGGTCGAAGAATCGGTGGGGCGAGGCCTGGCTTACCTGGTGGTTTTTTCTCTCATCTACCAGGGAAATCTATCAACTTCCCCTAAAAGGACACCTATGCTGAAGACTTGCGGCTTGGCTGGTGCTCCATGCGTCAGGCGGATGAGGACCTGGAGGCCTTGCTCAAGGGCCTGGATGCTTGACTGCTATTGGGTAACGGATCTTTAGACTTGTTTTTGCGAAATCAAGTTGTTTTCCCTTGAACTTTTTGGGAAATACAATTGTTTTCCCTTGAACTTTTTGGCAAATAAAGGTGCGTTCCCTTGAACTGTTTGGTTGACATAAAGGTGTTTTCCGAACTAAACACCCAACAAGTTACCTTTGTTTCAGGAGGGGCATTGCAGCAACCAAGGATGATGCCAGCCTCAGCCCCCGCCCGTCGGCCACAACCGCGGCGCCGGCGGCAGCGGCTGCTTCGGCAGCGCCGGCGGCTGCAGCCGCGGCTGCGCCGGCGCCGGTGCCGGCGGCGAGCCCGTGCAAGCCTCCGACCGAGGCAGAACCTACGGTTGACTTCGCGGCGACCCCCATTCTCACTTCCCTAAGGCTCCTGATGGATATTGGGGCTTCAAGATGACTTGGTTTGAGACCCCGAAGGCAAGCGGGGGTGTGGTATGGGGACCCCCAGGTTCTGCGTACCAAGCCCCAGGAGCCTTAGACGCTTAGAGTTCTTGAGTTCCTGGACTGAACACTGTTTGGAAAGACTGTTCTAGTGGTAAATAAGGAGTTTGGATTCTTGTTGCCAGAGGAAGTGAGATCTGCGATTCGCCGAGCAAACATGGGGAGGGAGGGGCAGCGAGGCCAATGCAAACCTGGAAATAGTATATAGCCGCGTTGATACAAGAGAGTCAATGGGTAGTCGGTGTTTGCGCGCCATGCTTGCGTGCTGCGTATTTGAACATCTAATATATCTTGACCGCACGTGCCGGCTACTTACAGCTGGCTCAATTGTTTTGATGTCCTAAAATAGAAATTCCCTGGAAGTGGCGGGGGTTCTTGTCGTTCCACTTAAAGCCATGCAAAACAATTTGCTCCCAAGTTTAGTAACCTCCCATCCATGTTCCTCGATGCCCCCTCACAAGACATCTAAGAATCTTATATACATCCTTCAAGTTGCTGAGTGGCACCCTTTTCCTTTTCCACTCGGTGGATTCTTGGCTGTGGGTTTAGTGCCATGGCCACTTCTCCAATAAGCATGGACTAAACGTGATCAACCTCGAAAAGGAGCGGTTTCATATTGTTTCTGCCATCACTGGTGGCGGTACTCTGCATCCGTTGCCTTTTGACATAGTTTGAACGAAGGTGCGGCTGGTATGAGTTTGGCGTTTTTGGCCATGCCCGGAATCGCTCCATTTCTTCAGTGGTTCCCCCGTTTAAGACACGTCAAATCCAATGCTGATGGACAACATCCGCTTCGCAGCCGTAGGATGGACAAAGCCTGGTCTAGGTCCCCCAGGCTGGGAGGGTTCCCTTACTAAAACGCTAAGATAGACTACAGAAGAAAGGGCACCCTCATTCTAACCTCTCTACTGGAGGACCACCTGGTTGAGCATCCACCCAATCTCAACAGGTGCGGATGGATTCGCGTGGATTTGGTCCATCCACATGCCGGTTGCGATTCGCTTTGCGCCGAACTTCAGGCGCACTCAGTGACGGCCCAGGGAGGTCCTGAGTATTGCACCGCCTGCAAGAAGCAGTTCGAGGCGGGTTTGCATAATTCCCCTGGTTTAGTCGTTCCCTTTGCCCCAAATCTATCAATGCCTAAGATGGCATCGATAAATTTGGGGTAGAATCTACTTGCAGGTGTAGCATGCGTGCTAGAGTCCAGAGAACCAGCAGGTATCGGCTTTGGAGGCTATGGAGGTTGCATACCACTTGTCCAAGGGGTGTACACTGACAGTCTTGCAAATTTGTAGCTTGTGGTGGGATGCAAGCACCCATACCTGCAAAACTTGTTAATTAGTGCTGAGTAGGGAATGAGAATTGGAATGTCGCCTATAAATTAACCATCTTTTGTGGTTTCTTTTTAGGGCCGCTAGGTCCCCCAGTAGTGCCCTTTTACCTTTTTTGGGGGGGAGGGTTGCCCTACCAAAATAGACTACAGAAAAAAGTTGGTACCAACTTATTCTAACCTCTCTAATGGAGGACCTAGAGGGGACCCCTAAGCTCAATCCCTTGGCCCCCCCACCGAGCACCAGCAAGAAAACCCATACCTTCTGAGGGTGTTTGTATTACACCCTGGGATTACACCCTTGGGAAATGACCCGGAACACGGTGATATCCGGAAATGTGCCTAAATGGGGTCACTACCCAGGAGTATTCCCAGGGTGTAATACAAAAACCCTTAGATACCTGGAACTGCAGGGTGGCCAAAGCATCTACGAGAGCCGGCTGTCCGGTGAGCCGCAGAGTCTTTGCAAGGCATGCTGGTCCCAGGCGGGCGGCCAAAACAGCCCCCCCCCTAAAGCAGTGGCTTTCTTTTATCTTTCCCTTCTCACTTCCTGAGTTCCTGGACTGAACACTTTTTGGAAAAACCATTTGAGTGGTAGTAGATATAAAGTTTGATCCACTCAGCAAGTGAGAAGCAGTGGCTTTCCTTTATTTTTCCCTCAAGCCAACCCCAAATCAGGGATTTCTTGTTTGTTCCTTTTACACCACCCTGAAAAAATGGTGGTTTTCCTTGTTGTTTCCCTTCAAACCAGCTCCAACACAGGTGCCTCAGGCACACACTCCCAGGTGGCCCCTCACTGTGCTGCCTGCAGGGAGCTGGTGTCTGGCACTATGGCCCGGGTGGGTGAGGACTGGCCCGGGTGTTTGCCTGGCCAGCGTCTTTTTGGGAGCTGGTGCCCCTTCTGGGTTGAAAGTTGAAGCCAACATCCAGCTGAGGTCTGAGCTGGTGATTTGGCGATGAACTTGGGAGGTCTAAGCTCCTCTTAGCTGGTGCCCGGACTTGGAATGTTTTTCCCAGAACTGGAGCGGACAAGGGGAATCCGACTGCTTAACTAAAACGAAGCATTGTGATGGCCTCAGAAGCTGTTGGCGCAATGGGATTTCTGCCCTTCTGGGTTTCAAGTTGAAACCGGCATCCAGGGAGGTCTGAGCACCTGGTGATTTGGCGAAGTTGAAGAACTTGGGGCCAACTCGTTTAGAAAGGGGCCAAGAAGGTTCGGTTCAAACCGGCTTGCCCGTAAAATGGGCCACCAAGAATTGCTGTGTTTTCTTGATTCCCTTTCTGATGCCATCCAAGAGGCATTCGCCCATTTTTAGGACACCCTTGAAAGCGGATTTGGCTAGTTAGCAGCAAATCAGCTATAAAAGGCTGCTTGGGGTGTTATATAGGCATACACGTAGCGGGGTTGTCCAACATTTCCCCCCCCTTGGGATCCTGGCGATGGGGCAGCAATCGCCATATTTCGGGTTGAACAAGTTCAGACAGGGAGGGTTTGTTTTGGGTGGCCCGGCTTCTGGGTCTCCAAAGTAGGCTTGGAATAACTATGAATCTGAAAACTTTAGAGCCTCCGGCTCAGTCCGCCGACATTGTCCTCTCCCTTTTCTTCTTCTTCCTCTGCCTTGTCTCCCTCGTGCGTTCTGTCGTCCTCTCTCCCTCTGCTCCCCATCCTCCCCATCCCCCCAAGCCTCTCTCTCCTCAATCTCCCTCTCTCTGTCTCTCTCTCTCTCTCTCTCTCTCTCTCTCTCTCTCTCTCTCTCTCGCTGTCTCTGTTTCTGTGTCTCTTTCTGTCTCCCTGTCTCCTTCCTGTCCACGCCCCTCTACAGAAAAAGGGTACCCTAATTCGAACCTCTCTCCTCTCTCACTTTCTTGCTCTTTCTCTCTCTCTGTCTTTCTGTGTCTCTCTTTCTCAGTGTCTGTCTCTCTCTCTCTCTCTCACTGTCGCTCTCTCTGTCTGTCTCTTTCTCTGTTTCTCTGATTCTGGCTCTGTCTCTGTCTCTCTCTCTCTCTCTCTCTCTCTTTCGTTAAAATTGGTTGTTACTTTGCTTACAAGTGCAAGTGCTGTAGTGTTCAAACAAACAGTCAACCAATGTAGTCTGCAGCTGCCAACCTTTTGACTCATGCGGAGTCGTAAGCTCAAGGCCTGCGGTAGTGAACATACATGCAACAAGGGTGCAAAGTGAAGCATGTAGTTTGACACGGCCCCTCAGTTAAAAGGTCTTTGTAGTACCTTTTCAACTGAAGTGCAAAACATGGATTGACAGTAGTGATGAAAACCATTGTTGTTCATCAATTCTACTGTATTGGCAAAAGTAGTGACCTGCGCTCAGTAGTTCACGCTGTTCAGGTTCCAGCTCGATGTAGGGCGCTGGACGGAAGTAGTGAAGGCAGGAGCTCAAAAATGTAGTCCCCATTTCTGGGTGCGGTAGGCTTGGACCATCTGTAGTCGACTGTCCAAGGTCGCGTAGTAGTTGGTGGTGAAAAAGGTTGTCATGTAGTTTGGAGCTCCCCGTAGTCGCTCATCATCAATCTCGGGACACGACATGTGTTGGTCGTAGTCCCGTAGAAAGCGGTGTAGTAGTGCTTTGTGGTGTTGTGTGAGGTTGGTCATTGTGAGTAGTGTGAATCCGTAGTATTGGATGCTTTTGCAGAGGATTGTAGTGATTGCTTTGTGCTGGAAGTCGTGTAGTTGGTCTCGGTTGTAAAGGTAATGGAGTAGTGGTAGAAGTAGTGGCATGTGGTAATTCCAAACGTAGTTGTTCCTGAGGCTGTAGTTGTCAGTGAAGGTGGTCATGTTGTAGTTCACCTTGAAGATGGTCTGTGGCAGTGTTGTAGTCGGGAGGTAGTAGTTGTGTTGTACCGACATCATGTAGGAGATGTAGTCCCTTGTGAAGTGTAGAAATTGTCCTGAAGTGAGGTACCTCAGGAGTAGTGGTTGTTCAATCTGGAGTTGGATGATGACGTAGTTGGTGTTGTCGCCAGTTGTAGTGTGGAGTGAAGTTGTGTGGTAGTAGTGGACGTTGGCTGCTTCAGGTAGTGAAATGCTGAGCAGTGTGGAATTGTAGTGTGGCATCCGAAGATCTCCAGGGATGCAGTGAATGGGTCGTGTGTAGTCCAGTTGTGCCAGTGGAGTAGCTTGTTGTTGTGAGAGTAGTTGATACTCTTCAAGTGTAAATGCAGTGAAAAATTGCGTGTAGGGAATGTTGTCGGGCAGTGGTGGTGCAGTGGTTGTCTGGTGCTCAGTGATGTGTAGTTGGTCCATCACTGTGGTCGGGTTGTAGTAGGCGGTGTTGCCGGGTGTAGAATGGTTGAAGTGGTAGTTGGAGTCGTTGTAGGTTTGAGGTGGTGGAGTTCCATGGTCACTGGAGTTTGTAGTGACCGCCACCTCAGGTGTAGTCGCCCTGTCGGGCGTAGTGGCATCTCCCATCGTAGCATCTGCAGTAGATGGAGCGGCCATGGGCAAAACAAATGAGCCTAAGTAGTTGCTACCAGGCAGTCGGCGAATGCAGACATGTAAAACAAACAACTGTAGTGTTGACTCAAGCCGCCAAAAGTGCAAGTGAAAGTACATGTAGTTACTGTTACTTACATACCAAAAGTGTCGTGTTACATGTAGCTACTTACATACATGAAATGTCCAAAGTCGTTGTTGTTGTTGTGAAACTGCTGTGCTGGTCGTTCGTAGTGCTAGATGCGTATTCCAATGCTCTGGATGAGCCTGTGTAGTGTTTCTTTGCTGATGTATTTGGTAAACAAATCTGCGCTGTTGTGGAGTGTGTTGATCTTAAGGATTCTGATGATGTCGTGCTTGATGAGGTCTTGTGTGTAGAGGAATTTGAGGTCGATGTGTTTTGCTCGTTTGCTAGTGCCTTGTCGTGTAGCAATGCTCTTGCCTGCTGTGGAGTCTGTGTGGATGCGTAGGTTTAGCTTGCTGCAAATGTTGGTTTCAAGTAGGAAGTTTCTGAGGTGTAGTCCCTCATTAACTCCTGTGCAAATGGCGTAGAGTTCAGACTCTGCTGAGCTAAGTGCTATTGTAGCTTGTGTTCTGCTGCCAAATGCAACTGTTGTTCCTAGAAAGATGATGTTGAAACCTGAAGTTGATTTCCTGGTAGTAGGGCATCCTGCCCAGTCGGCATCGACATGAACGTCGAGATCCAGGATGTTGTTGGTGTTTGCTCTGAGTGTTGTTGTTGGTTCTATGGTGAATTTGTAGTGCTTGGTGCCGTGCAAGTAGCGTAGTAGATGTTTGACTCTCTTTTGTGAAAGTTCTGTAGGTGCTGTGAGGTCTCGTGCTAGTTCTTTTGTGGAGTATGCAATGTCTGGTCGTGTGTATGCTAACCATTGAAGTTTGCCAACAATCCTTCTGTACCTTTTGTGTTGTTCGTGGTCAAGTAGTGCTTCATCTTCTATTGTTGGTTTGTAGTGTGCAATTCCTGGAGTGTTCACTGAGTTGCAGTTGTTCATTCCAGACTCCTCGATCATGTTGTCGATGTAGGAGTCCTTTAGTCCAAGATTGCAGTAGTTGCCGAAGTGGTCGATGTTTCTTCCAAGAAATTGTTGTGGTTTGCCAGGTTCGAGGTAGCCGATGTGCTTGAGTAGTACCTGCTTCTGGACGGCCTCGAAAGTGGAGTCGACTGCGGTCTTGTCTCCAAGTACTAGTAGATCGTCCACGTAGACCATGATGTAGCAGTCGCGAGTCGCATTGGTGTAGACGTTGGGTTCTGACTTTAGTCTTACAAAGCTGAGCTTTTGTAGAACTTCAGCCAGGTAGTCCTGCCATGCTTTCGGTGAACTGCGTAGTCCATACATGGCTTTCTTTAGTCGCCAGATTTTGTCCTGTTGTGGACAAAGTTCTTTAGGTGGCCAAAGGTAGACGTCACGTTGTTTACCGTCGTGGTCTTTTGCGATGGGTGCGTGTAGAAATGCTGTAGAGACGTCACCTAGTCGCGCGATCCAGTTTGGTCGTGACATTTGTAGTGCGAGAAGTGTCCGGAGTGTCGTGAACATTGGTGTAGAGGCGTAGACGGAGTCTTCGTCCTCGATCTTCTCGGTGTAGCCTTTTGCGACGATTCGGCTTCGTACTCCTGGTCCTTTCTTTCTGTGTACCCATCTTGTAGGTATCGCTTCTCTGATGACGTTGTCGTTGACGGTAGACGCATCTACTTCGTCGTAGACGTCGTGTAGTTTCATTTGGTTTGACTCGTGTTTCATTCCTTCCAGTAGTTGTGTTTCGTCGTAACCTTCGTTGTCGAAGATTATGGGTTGGTCTTCTGAGGTGTCGTCGTTTGTGTAGGGAGTGATGGATTTTCCGTTGGGAAGTGTCACTGCGTTGATTTTCTGTCGTAGTGGTGGTGGTTCTTTGGTTGCTTGTTCCGTTGATCTGATTGTAGTGTCCTTTGAGGTCTTCTGTGCTTTAGTTGGTTGCATTACTTCTTCCGGAGTTAAACGTCGTAGTGTTTGTCGAGGTGGTGCTGGTAGTGGTGGATGTTGTCGTCCAGTTGGTGAAGTAGCCATAGGACTATCCGGTAGTGGTCGTGAACTTGACGTCGATGTGGACGGAAGTCGTGGAGGTGGTGTAGTGCGTTGTTGTTTTGTTGCGGGTTCCGCAACGATGTCGTCCGTCGCATTCGTTTGTTGTCCGAAGTCTTGCGTCGACCTTCTTTTCTCTGACGGTTGTAGTTGCGCATCCAACAGTGTTGCGAACGATGGGTTGTAGGTGTTCCGTCGTGGTGCCCATGGTGTGCCGGAGACTTTGTTCAACAGTGCGAGGTCGTATTTGAAGTCCGGTTGTAGTCTCCGTACTGTTCGTACCTTTTGTACGCCTGATTCCGTTGCGACGTAGTTTTCTCCGGTTTCGGAAACTTTTCCGAGCCAGATGCATTTCTGCATCCGTAGATCTGCTTTCGGAAGTTTCTTGTGTTGTGGTGGAAGGTAGAGTGGTGTCTCGCCAAATTCGCAGATTGCTCGCTCGTAGTTTCTTCCCCAGCGGCGCTCAAAGCTTGTATAGCCGTCTGAGTGGATGACGTAGCGATTTACCGTCCATGCTGCATGTCGTACTATCCAAGGTAGTAGACAGTGCTTTGTGGACATCGTCATGCTGTAGTTGCTTTCAACTTGAGCTTTGACGACGCGGATTTGTCCGAGAAGTGTTCTATGTAGTCGCTCAACGCTTCCTTGACTGTTGCTGCTGTAGGAAGGTGAATGTCGTACACTCATTGTGCCGACTTTTGCTGCTGTAGCTTTTAGAAGTGCGTTGAGTGTGTCTTCGTTGTCGCTTTGTAGTATGCCTTGTGTTCTTCCGCACTCAAAGATGAATGCTTGTAGGTTGTTGACCATGTAGTCCATCATTGATGCTTTGTCTGGAACCAATACTGCCATACACAGTTGTGTAGTAACATCAACTGCTGTCAGTACCGGTGTGGTCTTTGGGTCTTGTTGTGACTTGATGTAGGCAAAGTCTACTTGAATGACAGGTTGTCGTGATTGTTGTTTCTTGTAGTTGTCTTGGCGTCCTTTGCCTTGAACGCAAATTGGACACCAGTTTCTGTATGGTAGATGTGTAAGGTTGTGTTCTGCTATTTGTTGTGGAGTGGGCTGCTGTGGTTGTCGTAGTCCTCTTGCTCTGTGTGCTTCATGATGCTCATGTTGTTGTTCTTCATCGTGGTTCTCCTGGATGTACTCGTAGTCTTTCTTCACGGTAAACCTTGTTGTTCCTTTCCATTGAAATGGTAATGCTGCGTTGCCCATGACTGTCCAGTCATCTTTGCGTTGTGAAACTTCTCCAAAGTTGTTGTGAGTGATTGTAGTTCTGTAAGGTTCAAGTGTGTTGATTGGTGGATGTCCTGGTCCATCTGTTGGAGTGAAGAGAGTTGTTCTAAGCGTTGTGTGGTGTCGTATCCAGTGTTCACCTTGTCTTTCCCAGTAGTCTTGGTTGTCCTCCTGTGCTGTGAGTGGTCTGTGTATTGTCTCCTTTGGTTGTGTGGTGTCAAGATTTGTTGAAGGTGCTGCTTTGGGTCTCCATATCTTTTGTGGTGCTCGTAGTTGGATCTTTGATCTGGTTGGTGGTGTGTCCATTAGCCGTTGTGGTTGTGAGCTCTGCCTTGTTGGTGTGGTCTTTGATGTTGCTCTGCGTGTAGGTGTTATCTTTCTTCTGAATCTGGTTTCTCCAGTCCAGTTGTCACCTTCTAGTCTTCGTTGTAGTTCTTGCTTGGAAAGTTGTGTTGGGTTCTCTTGTAGTTGTTCTTGCTCTTGCCCTTGTCTGTTGATGATGGTTAGTCTCCAATCATCTAGTTCTCCTTCTGGTATTGGGCAGCCACTGTTGTGTGGTGTGAACAGTGCTTTGCGTGGTCGTTTGTGTACTCTGATGGCGTAGTCACCATCAAGTTTCCAGTAGTCAGTGTTTCCACCAAGGATCTGTCGTAGTCCTTGGTCTGTGTGTGTGAGTGGTGCGATTTGTTCTTGTTGTTGTGCTGCTCTCTCTGTAGGTTGAATCACAGCAATGGATTTTCCATTGTCTGTAGTCATTGGGTAGATGTCGAATCCTGTAGGAATGTCGATCTTCTCTGCTCGTAGGTAGAAAAGTCCTGAGTGTCTTATGAGGTGTGCTTGTTGTTGTCCATGTGTGATGGTGCAGTGTCGTGGAGTGAAGTCAAGTCCATATCCTCTATCAAGTAGTCTTGATGCACTGAGGATTGGATACTTCACATCACAAACGTAGTAGGGTATCATGATCCTGAAGTTGTCCTGCTTGTAGGGAACGTACTTGATGCCGTAGACTGGAATCTTCTTGTTGGTCACCGTGTAGAGTTGTGGAACTGATTCTTCACAGGGTCGTAGTGGAAGATCCGGTGCGTAGTCCTTTGGGCAAACATGTGTAGATGCTCCTGAGTCGATCAACAGGTGGTGGTATGACTTGAAGTTGGAGTACATGATGTAGTGGGTGATAGTGTCCTCAATCTTCTTGTTCCTTTGTTGTTGTCTTGCTGCTGCTATGTCGAAGTGTAGCTTTGTGGTGTCTTCTTGTAGGAATTGTTGAAAGCTCTTGCTGTGGTCGTTCCATGATGTTGTGTGTGTTGTTCTCTTGCCAAGTAGTGATTTGGATTTGTGCTTGTGTAGTCGTGATTTTGCTTGTCTGATGTATCCAATGGTGAGGTGTGACTCGTTGATGCCTCCAATGTAGTTCGCTGTGTCCTCATAGCTGTTGTCATTCCAATCCCAGCTGTTGTCATAGTCGTAGTCGTTCCAGTTCTCCTCCATGTAGTTCACCTCATGTTGTCCTTCTTCTCCTTCGTAGTACCAGTCCCAAGTGTCGTTCACATCCTGAGGTAGTTCATCATTGTTGTCGTGATCTGCTTGTTCTTGTTCTAGTGGATGTAGTTCTTCTCCTTCTCCTATGTGCCATACCGGCACTCTGCAGTCTTGTGCCCAGTGGCCGGGCTTGCCACATCGATGGCATGTTGTGTAGTTGTTGCTTCCTTTTCCTTTTGATTTGCTGTGGTTTCCTTGGCCTTTGTGGCCTTTGCTTGATCCATATCCTTTGGATCCTGAGTAGCCTTTTCCTTTGCTCTTGTTGTATCCTCCTTTGTTGTAGTTTCCTTTGCTGCCTTTGTCGAATCCTTTGTAGTGTCCTTTACTCCTGTACTTGCCTTTGCTCTTGCTTCCTTTGTAGCCGCCTTTTCCTTTTCCTTTGCCTTTGTAGCTTCTTCCTTTCCTCCATATGTTGTCAACATCCATTGGTGCAGTTCCTCCATTGTAGTTTGTTCCTACTGCTGAAGTAGATCTAGTGAAGGCTGAAATCGTTTTGTAGTAGTCCAGGATGAGTGCTCTGATCTCGATGTAGTTCGTGATCTGTCCAGCTCGCAGTTGGAGGTGTTGCTGCAGTGCTCCTTTGGTTTTGTTGAGTAGAATTGCTATTTTGATTCCATCTGGTAGTGCTGTTCCATTGTCTTTCTCGTAGCGGTTGATGTCGTATTCCCATTGTAGAAATTGTTCTTCAAACTGCGCTTCGTTGAATGTGGGTTCCAGTAGTTTGGTAAGGTAACCAACGCTCCTTGTTCCTACTGGTAGGCTGAACCTGTTGTGTAGTAGTCGTAGTGTTTCACATCCGTTTGCGTTGTAGCGGTTTTGCCTTACTACTGTAGCTGCTGCTCCCTGACAGATGTTGATGAGGATGTAGTGTAGATCTCTGGAGAGGTCTACTGCTTTGCTTGCTTGTGTAGGGTCGAGTATGTGTGTTCTGATGTCTGTGTCCTCAATCTGTCGTGTAGCCACTTGTGCTAGTTGTAGCACCAGGTCGAAGTCTCGGTCTATGAGGCCGAGGTATGCTTGTAGCTTGAACAGCCATTCTTCATACTGGGAGTAGTCACCAGTGAAGAAGGGTGGTGGCAGTTTGTATCTATGTAGTCTCTGAACGTCGTTGTCTTGTTCTGTTCCTGCTCCCGTAGTCGTGGCTCCTACTGTGTCTGCTGTTGGCCCGTTCTCTGCTCCTGTAGTTTGTTGTGCTGAGGCTGATGCTGCTTCTCCTGACATGTCGTAGTAGTTTGGCATGTAGCTGCTGTTGCTCTGTTGTTGTAGTACTTACTGCTTACTGGAGCTCCCCTATGTTTAGGATCTCAGCTCCGCTACCACGTTAAAATCGGTTGTTACTTTGCTTACAAGTGCAAGTGCTGTAGTGTTCAAACAAACAGTCAACCAATGTAGTCTGCAGCTGCCAACCTTTTGACTCATGCGGAGTAGTAAGCTCAAGGCCTGCGGTAGTGAACATACATGCAACAAGGGTGCAAAGTGAAGCATGTAGTTTGACATCTTTCTCACTCTCTCTCTCTCTCCCTCTCTCTCTCCCGCTCTCTCCCTGTCTCTCTCTCTCTCTCTGTCTCTCTCTCTGCATTGCAGTCACGTCCCCCCCTGAGTTGCCTCGATGTCCGGGCACGGCCCCTGCATGACCCGGAACTGTCATCTCACTGCTGGCTTTCCCCTTGATTTCCCCTTCATGTCCTTTTCACGTTTCCCATGATGTCCTGGTCCTGCCCCTTCCATGCCGTTCAACCCCCCCCCCCCTTCATGTCCCTGACATTTTTCCATGTATGTCCCGTTCTTTCGTTGCGAGTCATTTCCCTACATCTCCCGTCGTGCCGATTGGTTTCCTTGTGCGTTGTTTCCCTTTCCTTCCCCCTGCACTCCCCTTGTTTTCATTTCTGTCCCTTGCATGTCCCTTTCAGTTTTCCTGGGTTTCCCTTTCATGTCCCGCTGCTTTCCTGTCATGTTGACTTCCTATTTCCTCCCAACATTTCCTTGCACTTCCTTGCTTTGCTCCCCAATATTTGCCGCCAAAAACACGGTTTTTCCAGCGTTTTCGCAATTAGGACGTACAAAAACACAGAGTTGTTCCTTTTTTTTTCGGAAAAAGGAGGCAGGAACCCCAAACCAGCAAAGAGCCGGCAGGGGGAATCGAGCCTGGGACCCCTGTTTTGCGAGAAGACTACGTTTAGTGGAACGTCATCAAATTGCCGCGCGGTCGGAGGGGGAGGGGGGGGGGGGGCGGGCGACGCCGAAACCCTGCGTAATTGACGTGTCCTGGGGGGGGACTCAGGGGGGGGTTATCCTCTATCCTCTCTTAAGTATCCGACAAGCCGAACAATGTCGGCGGATACGTTGTTTGCGCATAGAGTTGTCAGGGCCCTTTTGCCACAACTGGGGTTTGCTCACGACCCAACAGCCTTAAGGCTCTTTTTTGTTTAATATTCGCCTATCGCTGGCGCCCGCCAGGATACCTACCATCAGCAGTGCCTGAAGTGTGGCTTGGCGGTTTTGTGGCGGGGGTTGGTCGCCTGTTCTGCCCGCCTGGGATGATTCTTCCCACAAGGCTGAACATGTGAACTTCCAGGACCCAAGAGACTTTCTAGGCTTGCCACATGAGTTGCATTAAAAGCATCTAATACTTCATGGGTTGCACGGCCTACCCGGTTGGTTATTTTCCGGGGGTGCGTATCGATGTTGCAATTTGTGTTTCACTCTTGCATCATGTAAATGTCACTGCCGTTGGCTACTTGAAGAGGCTGCGTAACAGAATGCTTACCGATGTCCGCCCTCAACCAAAGTGAATTTGGCTCTTGAAGGTGGCGAGGTTGTCATCATCCAGCATGTTTCAATCAGGTTTGGCCATTTCACACCCTGGTTTGGAAATCAGTGGAGCCTTTAAGGCTTCTTCTCTACCAGGTGCCTCTTCGCACTACCAACCAAATTGCCAGGGCAACCCTGATATCAATTCTACTAGTTGTCCAGGTTTTCCGCCAAATCCGAAGCAAACCAATGCGAGGCGCGTTTTGCAAGAAAGCCATCAACGGCCAGCTCACGAAGATGGACGTTGGCCTTGCCTGCAGTAGCTGTTCGGACGAGATCGACCGCGAGTTCAAGGATGGGTTCCCGTTGTTTCTTTTGCCTTGGTTTCCACAAAAGCCCAACCCAGCCCAATGGTCTAAAAAACAATGAAAGGGACACCAAATCATCATTTTGGGGCTCCCCTATTTTGAGACGCACCAAATCCAAATCACTAAGCAAGGGAAACGCCGAGAAGGAAAATGGAGAAAGGCGAACCACCGTCCATTCAGAGACGGCGTTTGTTTAGGGGCAGTCAGTGCTTGCGAACTTGCGAGCGCCTGCTGTCAAGGGACGACAACATTTGTCGGGGTCCATTTAGCTGGAGCTTGTGGTTTCAGAGCTTCTCGTAGTCTGTTTAGGCAGAAGTGCCCTTTTTCTTGACCGCCAGTTTCAATGTCTGGTCCGAAGCCCCCATTTGGGGTCAGTGGGTATCACTTGTTGAACAAGTGGCTGATTCTTGGGGCGATGTTTAAGGGGAAAGTGTCGCGAGCCCTGTCTGGGTTCCCCTGTCAGCCGTTAAAACATCAAGCAGGGAAGTTTTCCATGGGCCACAGGGATGTTTCAAACCACCACAACGGGCCACTAACGGTCGATCCCGCAGTTATTGCAAGTAAACCGTACATAACCCCAAGAGGAAAATGGGCCACATTTGGTCCAAGCAGTGATGTTTGTTTTGGCGAAGGACAAGGGAACCACTGAAGGGTCTGAGTAAGTGAACATTTCATGACCTCTGAAACAAGGCCTGGCTTCTCACAGGGCAAAAAATTGCTCAAAAAATCCAACTACCCTCCCGCCAACATGGAACCTGACGTTCGGGATCCTTTGAAAGGAAAATTGTCAAACAAACCAGCCCCGTACCCAGGGTGATGCAGCGCTTTCCGGTATCGAGACACCTGAGACAGCCACTAAACCAAGACCAAAACTGTCTCAGGCGTGTCTCGGTGTCTCAAACCTCAGCTGGCTGGCTTGTGGTTGGATAGGGGCCCGAAGCGTAAGCTTGCTGGCTTGTGATGGCTAGAAGGCTAGAAGCATTAAGCTGGCTGCTAGGAGCGTAAGCTGGCTGGCTTGTGATGGGATAGGGGCTAGAAGCATTAAGCGCCCGATGCGTAAGCTGGCTGGCTTGTGATGGGATAGGGGGCTAGAAGAATAAAGCGCCCCGAAGCGTAAGCTGGCTGGCTTGTGATGGGATAGGGGCTGGCTGCTAGGAGCGTAAGCTGGCTAGAAGCATAAGGCGCCCGAAGCGTAAGCTGGCTGGCTTGGCTAGAAGCGTAAGCTGGCTGGCTTGTGATGGGATACGGGCTAGAAGCATTAAGCGCCCGAAGCGTAAGCTGGCTGGTTTGTGATTGGCTGGGTCAGTCTCGAAGCATTAAGCGCCCGAAGCGTAAGCTGGCTGGCTTGTGATTGGCTGGGTCAGTCTCGAAGCATTAAGCGCCCGAAGCGTAAGCTGGCTGGCTTGGCTGGAAGCGTAAGCTGGCTGGCTTGTGATGGGATACGGGCTAGAAGCATTAAGCGCCCGAAGCGTAAGCTGGCTGGTTTGTGATTGGCTGGATCGGTCTCAAAGCATTAAGCGCCCGAATAAGCTGGCTGGCTCGTGATTGGCTGGGTCAGTCTCGAAGCATTAAGCGCCCGAAGCGTAAGCTGGCTGGCTTGTGATGGGATAGGGATTCTGGCGGTTTCCTTTGCTGAGCTGATCGTTGTGTTCGCCGGGGATGCGTGATGCGATCACTGACCATTTGTGCTTGTGAGCCCATGCTGCCACCAGCTGCACAAAGATCTGCAAAGGCTACGAGGTAGTGAATAATTTATTCACCCCTGCTTCGATGCTGTTATCCGTGCCTGAGGGGATGCAGATGGAGTGCTTGCGTGCCTCTCAGCAGTCCAGGCGACGCGCGTGAGGGCCCTGTGCAAGAGTTTCGAAGCATGCACCATCCTCCAATGCCCACAGTGCTACCTTCCGCGCATGCACCTGCTGCAGCTTTGCAGATCAGAAGGGGTGTGCTTCGTAGTGGGCATGCGAGATCCAATTGGAAACGCTGTAAGTGTCGTTGCAAACTAGCTTTGCTCGGTTTGAAATGCGAGCATGCTCTGCTGAGGGATCTGCGACGCGGACCCAGTGTGGCTTTGCACAACCTTGGGCAGGTCGGGGCAATGAATGGTTTTGCCCTTGTGTTCTAGCACTTTGGAGCCAGGAGGCATGAATATGCCGTGTACTGCTTCGGTTAAAACAGCCTTGGAGCTGAGCGCAGAAACAAATGGAGGCCACAGTCTTGCATTGACTGAGATCACGCAACCCGGCGGGGAATGCAGGTCGTGCTCGCATGCCTTCCTGTCAGCCGCCAAAGGGACGCTCCTGGGCGGCTGGCGGGAAGGGCTGACAAAAGAACAGGGGGCTGAGCAAGCCCGGCTGGCAGATGGTGTATTGGTGGGTTTCTCGGGAGATGGGACGGCTCCCGTCAACCGCCAAAACACGCTCTCGGGGGCGGATGGCCGGCGGTTGGCGGGAGGAGGCGCTAGCAAGCTCAGGATCCGGGGAGAGCATGTTTTTTTTTGGCGGGCAGGGAGGTTGGGGGCCTTGCTGACCTGACTTGGCGGCAGGCAGGAGCAAATCGTTTATTGGGAACTAAACTTGACCTGCAAACACGGCTTGAGATCGAAGTTGACATGCGGACACGGTCTTTGAAGGGGACACGATTTTTGAGGGGCATGCAGACATGATTTTTGAAGGGCTTGAGATTGATTTTTTTGGACATGTAAAAATTCGCAGCTTTGAACATTTCCGCATGTTGTTGTTCGATTTGCGGACCTCGCCCGAGGCCCACGCGACTGCGTGAGACAAAAGAAACGGCCCTGCCGTCCCCTCGTCTGGCGTGCCCCCGTGTTTTGCGTGTCCTTTGCGCCCCCCTCCTTCGCCTTCGCCGGTGCCCCTGGGTGCACTGGTGCCCTGGGTGCCCTATGTGCCCTCAGTGCCCTTAGTGCTTTGGGTGCCCTGTGGGCCTGTGTGCCCGAAGTGCCCTGGGTGCCCTAAGAGCCCTGGGTGCCTTAAGTGCCCTGGGTGCCTTAAGTGCCCTGGGTGCCCTGGATGCCCTCCCCGGCAAGGGGCCTCGCAGTTCTCTCAAGGCCCCTGCGGGTCCTTGCGGGCGTGTTCTTTTACGTCGGTGACCCACGATCAACAGAGCACGGTTGTAGAAGGGACAAGAGTCCCTGCCCGTGCCGGTCCCTCACCTCGAGGATCAGACCGCACTTGTTCATGATCCAGACACGGGCCTCGACGCGGGCCTGGCACTCGCCGGCACTCGTGCCTCGGGCCTCTGGATCTTGTTGCCGTGTCCCAGCGGACGTTCCGCGCGTCCAGCTTGCACTTCAGGAATGCGCCCTGGGATTGTTTGAGACAGCTCTGCCGGTCCTTCACGTCGCAGTCGCCCCAAAGTCTGCCCGGGCCTCCCAGGCCTCGGAATCCCTTTCCACGGCAAGGCACACATTCTGCCGTCCCAAATCCTGCCCAAAGCTGGGCTCCCAAATAATGGCGGGTCCACTGGCTGGGACTGCCAGACTATCGGCTTCCCCTCGGACCTGAAGGCCGCCGATTTGGCCCCCTTTGAGGACGTTTGCACCTCGCCGAAAGCGATTGTAGTGGCGATGGTAATCATCTTGACTCTTGGTTGCCGGTCTCTTTTCCTGCAGGGCAGGCAAAGAAATTGTCCGACCAAAGCGTTGGCCCTGGCTCAAGCGGCTCGACAGCCGTCATTTCCGGAAAAAACGCGTTTTTGTTTGTTTGTTTCCGTAAGTTCTGTGTTGCATGATTTTTGCGCGTGATTTTGCATGACCCCTATGCTTTCTCGACTATGTTTTAAATAGGGGTTGTTCAACCCCTATTTTTTGCATTGACAACCCCTATTTTTTGACATTGGCCTTTGGGGTCCATTTTGGGTTGTTACTTTGTTTTTATCGAAAACAACGCCTGCTATTGCAACCTCTTATGTAGCCTTGGGAGCCAGTAGATTACTATTTATTGATAGGGTCATCGGGGCCCTTTCGTTTTTGCGCAATGCACCTGCTGAAAGTCTTGCGTAGACGGAGCCTTCATTCTAGCAAATTCTAGAATGTTCCTCTGCAATTTGCGCAGGTGGCACGAACAACAAGCAATTTTGCGCTTGTTTCTTCCGTTCCAATTTTCACTCAGCTCCAAAAACGTAGAACGGGCAACTTTTGCAGGGGACCCAGAAGATCAACATTCTCATCCTGGAATGGTTGCTGTGATGGGTAGATAGTTTTGCTGTCCCGTGTTTGTTGTTTGGCGGAAGGTGGGGCAAAAGAAGGACAGAAACGGTCAGAAGAGGGTTCACCCTCACGCGCTACATGGCCATGTTAAGAAACCAAGCAACATAGAAGCCAACATTAGCCTTGAAGATTGTAAATCATATTGCTGCATATGAAAACACATATTCGAGTTTGGGATCCTATGCCATGTTGCCGGTGTTGCGTTTTTTCTCGCGATTTTCACGTTGTCGGTCGTGGTTGGAAAGAGCTTCCCCAAGTACGTGAGCCTTTCGGCTTGCTGCAGCCTTTTGCAGCCTTTTCGGGCATTTTGTCGCGGTTCGGGGTAGTGGGGAGCTGCTCGCGGGTGGAAGGCAAGGCTTTCGGATTTGCAGCTTCCTTTGTCTCCACGCACCCTGTGCCAGCATCCACTTCGACCTGCAGGTCTTCTTACAGTGCGGCCCTGAGGAAGTTGCCTCTTGTTGCTTTTTGGTCACTTGCAGGTGGATCCACAATTTTTGCTACTAGGGACAATTCGGCCGGGGTCCTGTGTGGGTTGGTGTCAGCTCGCCCTTCGAGTAGTGTCTCAGGTTGGCCCAGTTCGCCAATTTGACGTGGTGAGGCCAACATGAATTGCAACTCCTCGCGACTGCTCGAGGGGCGCAAGCCGCTCATGCAGCCGCGCGACCTGCGCCCGGCGGGCACGATCGACATGCTGACCGGGCTGGAGGTGCAGACGACGAACGACAAGCTGGGGTGGGAGCTGCCGAACGTCGACCTGCGGCAGGACTTCTCCTCCGACGACATCGAGACCCTCATGCAGGCCTGCGACGACGCGGGCGGCATCCTGGTCTTTTCAAACCAGTCGCCGGACATGAGCATCCACGACCACGTGCGCTTCGCGAAGAAGCTGGCCGAGGTGAACGGAACGTGCTGCGAGCCGCACCACGTGTCCAAGGGCCACCCCGACGCCCCCGAGGTCCTCGAGATCGTCCGCGAGGCCACCGCGCAGGTCGTCTTTGGCGAGAACTGGCACTCGGACATCTCGTTCGCCGCGCAGACGGCCTCCTACTCCATCCTGCGCGGCACGATGGTGCCGCGGCTGGGCGTGAACGACACGCTCTTCTCGTCAGCGGAGGACGCGTACGACGCGCTCTCGCCCACCATGCAGAACCTCCTCCTCGACCTCAACGCCTACCACTCCGCCAACCGCGCCTACGGCGCCGGCCACCCGGGCAACTCTCGCGCGGCCATGGAGGGCACATCGACGATGCAGATGCGCGAGGACTTGCCGCAGCTCGAGCTGGACGTGCTGCAGCCGATCGTGTCGGTGCACCCGCGCACGGGCCGCCGCGCCCTTTTCGCGTCGCCCACCTTCACCACGCACATTGACGGCATGAAGCCCGCCGAGTCGCGCGCGATCCTCGACTTTGTCTACAAGTGGATTGCGCGGCCCGAGTTCTGCACGCGCGTCTCGTGGCTGCCCAACCAGGTGACGATGTGGGACAACCGCTCGCTGTCGCACAAGGGCGTCGCGGACGACTGCTCCGAGAAGCGCGTCGTCCAGCGCGTCACCATCCGTGGCAGCTCTCCCCTCAACCACCGCGGCCAGCAGCTCTCCCTCACCAACCACATCAAGGCGGCTGGCGCCGGCCTCTGGGAGGCAAACGGAGAGGAGGAGGAGCGGGCAAGCGGTGGCGGAGCCCCAGCGTGCGAGAGGCCGAGGGCGGTGGATGTGCATGCTTGATGATAATAGGCTGAACACGGGTGGGCTCGCCAGGCTTCATCCTGATCACGTGCATGATCAATGCCGCAAAGTGCAGGTTTTGCATTGTTTCCCCAACCCCGTCCACCCCTGCCTTCAGGTCGGCCGACCATCGGCCCTGAAAATCAGGCCCACGGTTTGCATTGTTTCCCCAACCCCGTCCACCCCTGCCCTTCAGGTCTGCCGACCCTGGGAATCAGGCCCACGTTTTGCATTGTTTCCCCAACCCCCGTCAAGTCGTTTGATCACCTGCCTTCAGGCCCACCAACCCGTGGACCTCGAGAACAAGGCCCCTGTTTTTGCATTGCTTCCCCAACGCGTCAAGCCGTGCCGTGAGGCCTGCTGAAAATCGATCTTGCGAACCAGGCCCGCGTGTTGCGTTGTTTTTTCTTTATGCCAACCCGTCAAGCTGTGCCGTCAGGCCCGTTGACCTTGTGAACAAGGCCCCTGTGTTTGCATTGTTCCCCAAGCTCGTCAAGTCTCGCCGTCACAGGCATCTTGGGCTTCGTGATCCCAGCCGTTGGGGATTTTTGAGGCAGGGTTGTAGTCTTCCAATCACTTGAGCTGTTTTTTTTGACACGGGCAGGCTTTCCCATCAATACCGCAATACCTTGCTGCGCTGGCCGTGCTCTCAACAGTTGCGTTTGCTTGCATTCTTGTTTTGCGACTGTGGAGGTGGACTCAATTCGTTATGCCCCCCCCGAGTCCCCTCAGTCCCGTAGCTTGCCTAGCTTCCCCAAGTTCCCTCACTTCCCTAACTTCCCTGAATTCTTCAAGTTTTCTAGGTTCCCTAAGTTTCCTAGGTTCGCCAAGTTCCCTAACTTCCCGAACTTCGCGAACTTCCCTAACTTCCCTGGGAACCAGGTGCATGGGTTC